GCTGTGAGTCAGAATCAACTCGTTGGCAGTGGATATTTTTTTTTTTTTTTTTTGGTTTAGTACAGGTATAGAGAGATGATTCAATTAACCAAGTGTTAGACTGCAGGTTATTTTATTTAATGTGACTAATCACATTATCAATCAGGTCTATATTTGACATACAAAAAATACAGTAGAAAGCTAAAAGAAACATACAAAGAAAATAAAACAATAAAACCAAACTTCACTGTGATGAAGTTATAGTTGATATTAAATGGAAGCCTGCTGCATAGGCTCTTAAGCATATAGAAAATGTGCTGGCTTAAAACAGTCCGTTGGGTTTTCTAACCAACACAACACAACACAACATGTGTATTACTATCCCAGAAAGTAAATTACAAATCCAAACACTAGCTTTGAATTCTCATACAATATTTTTGTATCAAAATGTCTTTAAATGCCTTTCACACTTTTGGCATTGAAATGCCTTTTACTGCCTTTCACGTTACCTGTTATCCATTATTTAAGTATTAAGAAGAGTGATGCATAGTTCAAAGGAATAACAATAAGGTCATTTTTTACTCCAGCAGTCTGTAGTAAATACAAACCGATGTCCTTTTTCTCCTCCCATATATTCAACAATCTTTGTGTATCTGATCTGGCTGCTCCAATTATAAATACTCTCTGTGCCACAGCCAAACACCAACTCTTATTAGCCATTAGAACACATTAAACACATTGCTTTTCATATAAAGTGGAACAAAAATCATAGCTGAAGTTTAAGAAATGCTGGACAGAAAATGTGTTGCAGGCTTTCAATTTTACTGCATACATACTGCACAATAATTAGGGAGGAATAATTCATTTCAAACTTAATAAAATCTTCAAATATATTCCCACAGCTCTCCACCCACCAATTCAGTCCCTCAGGGAGTTTGGATGTGTCTATGACCATACCTTGTACAAGTTGGGCTGGCTTCCCTAGTATTGTGTACTGTCTCAACCTTCACCAAAGATACCACTTATTTATTGTCTATTTAGTATTCCCCCCCCACCCCTCCTATCCCTCGTAACGAACAAAGATTGTCACTTTTCGTGTGTAAACATTTTCATGAGTTTTAACAATAGAGGTCTCATACAATATTTGCCCTTTTGTGATTGACTTATTTCACTCAGCATAATGTCCTCCAGTTTCATCCATGTTATGAGATGCTTCACAGATTCATCATCGTTCTTT